TGATCATGTGGTTTTTTTCTTTGAGTTTGTTTATATGGTGTATTACATTGACGGACTTTCGTATGTTGAACCACCCTTGCATCCCTGGGATGAAGCCTACTTGATCATGGGGGATAACCGTTTTGATGTGTTCTTGGAGTCTGTTTGCCAGTATTTTATTGAGTATTTTTGCATCAATGTTTATGAGGGAGATAGGTCTGTAGTTCTCTTTCTTTGTTGTATCCTTGTTTGGTTTAGGAATCAGAGTAATTGTAGCCTCATAGAAGGAGTTTGGCAATGTTTCTTCTGTTTCTATTGTGTGGAACAATTTAAAGAGTATTGGTACTAACTCTTCTTTAAAGGTCTGGTAGAATTCTGTGCTGAAACCATCTGGTCCTGGGATTTTTTTTGGTTGGGAGACTTTTAATGACTGTTTCTATTTCCTTAGGGGTTATGGGACTATTTAAATAGTTTATCTGGTCTTGATTTAACTTAGGTATGTGGTACCTATCCAGAAAATTATCCATTTCTTTTAGATTTCCAGTTTTGTGGAGTAGAGGTTTTTGAAGAATGCCCTGATGATTCTCTGGATTTCCTCAATATCTGTTGTTATGTCCCCCTTTTCATTTCTGATTTTGTTAATTTGGATGCTCTCTCTCTGTCTTTTGGTTAGTTTGGATAAGGGCTTGTCTATCTTGTTGATTTTCTCAAAGAACCAACTCTGTTTCATTAATTTTTTGTATTCTCTTTGTTTCTACTTTATTGATTTCAGCTCTCACTTTGATAATTTCTTGGCGTCTATTCTTCCTGGGAGACTTTGCTTCTTCTTGTTCTAGAGCTTTCAGGTGTACTGTTTAGTCACTAGTATGAGATTTCTATGAGATTTCTCCAACTTCTTTATGTGGGCATTTAGTGCTATGAATTTCCCTCTTAGCACTGCTTTCATAGTGTCCCATAAGTTTGGGTATGTGGTGTCTTCATTTTCATTGATCTCTAGGAACTCTTTAATTTCTTTTTTTTTATTTCTTCCTTAACCCATTGGTGATTCAGTTGAGCATTATTCAGTTTCCATGAGACTGTAGGTTTTCTGTAGTTTTTGTTGTTGTTGAAATCTAACTTTAAACCATGGTGGTCTGAAAGAATGCAGGAGATTATTCCAATTGTTTTGTATCTGTAGAGATTTGCTTTGTGGCCAAGTATGTGGTCGATTTTAGAGAAGGTTCCATGACACCTCACAGTTTCTATGAATCACTGGGGAAATGACTGAGAACACCAGCTTCTTTTAGACACTTTTAATTATTAGTTATTTTTACATTGATGTGATAAAGCACCATGACCAAGACAACTTACAGTAGAAAGAGTTCATTTAGACTGACAGTTCTAGAGGGTTAGAGTTAATGATGGTGGAGCAGGGGTGTCGGGGCAAGAACTGGATGCTGACAGCAGAAGCTGAACCACATACTGGGAATGGTGCCACCCTTTGTAACCTCAAAGACTACCTCCAGTGGCATACTTCTTCCAGAAAGGCCTTATTGGAAGGTAAAAGGGCTAGCCAAAGAAACACACCCTGGCCCTGAAATCAGAGTCAGTGAAAGAAACATACTTTGACCCTGAAACCAGAGCCAAAGAAGCGTACTCTGCCCCTGACCAATCCAGCAGAAACCAACAACCCCTGAGCAGGAAAACCAACCAATCTCTGAGCTTGTCCAGCAACTTGGAACCAGAGCCAGAGCAGGAGTGGAGCGGAGGGGAGCAGAGCAGAACTGTAACACTTTCCCTGGGGAAACTTTCCCCTAGCTAGCTGAGTTGTTACACTAGGGAAGCCTTTCCCTGGAGCAGGGTTGTAAGTGGCCAGGCTTATGGTGACTTCGTGGTATTCCTTGGTTCTTGACTGCCAGGATCCTTTTCCACCAGAGCAGTAATGCTTCCACTTACCTCCTGTCTTAGTTAGGGTTTCCTATTGCTGTGAAGAGACACTGTGACCATGGCAACTCTTATAAAAACAAACAAACAAACAAACAAACAAACAAACTGAAGGTGGTGTAGCAGGAATCTTAAAAGTTCTTATTAGTAAAATCAAACCTGAACCAGGTATTGGGGTGAACTGGAAGATCAGAGAACCAGAACAAGCCACAGCTACCTCACCTCACCGAATTCTCAGCTGGTCTTGTTTCCTCAGACTGGAGGCCTCTGAGTCCTGATCCAAATGGGTCTCAGCTGAACAGCTGCTCAAAAGCCTGAATGCTTAACCAGCTAAAAGCTTAACCAGCCAAACACTTCTAGTTTCTGGTCCTCACGCCTTATATACCTTTCTGCTTTCTACCATCACTCCCTGGGATTAAAGGCTCGCTTTCTGGGATGAAAGGCGTGAGTCTCCATGCTTGGCTGTATCCTTGAACACATGGATTTCTGCCTCTGGAATGCTAGGATTAAAGGCGTGTGCTACCACTGCCTAAGTAAGTATCTAGTGGCTTTTCTGTTCTCTGACCCCAGATAAGTTTATTAGGGTACACAATATTTTGGGGAACACAATGCCACCACAGGGTGGCTTGTTTACAGTTTCAGAGGTTCAGTCCATTATGATCATGAAGGTGAGCATGGCAGCATGCAGGCAGACATGGTGCTGGAGCTGAGAGTGCTACATCATCTTGACTCAGAGGCAACAGGAAGTCACTGGCTGTCACACCGACAGAAACTCAGGAAAAGAGACCTCCAAGCCCGCCCCCCAGAGTGACACACCTCCTCCAACAAGGCCGCACCTACTCCAGCAAGGACCACCTCCTAATAGTACCACTCCCTTCAGAGGCCATTTTTTTTTCAAACCTCCACCCCTCCTAAACCTCTCTGAACGTCACCACCCACTGGGGACCAAGTATTCAAACATCCGAGCCCGTGGGGACATTCTCATTCAAGCCCCCCACAGCTGTTTTTGTGTTCTGTGACTAAAATCCACGACAGCAACAACGGAGAGTAGGAAAGTTCTGTTTCATCTCAGGGTTCCAGAGGGATTTCAGTCTGTTCGGGTTGGGAGGGCATGATGGAGTGGTTCTGTCCCTGAGGGCAGAGCAGGAAACAGGGAATGCGGCCCGAAACCAAGTGTGGGTCTCCCCTTCAAAGGCCTTCCCCTAGTGATTTACTTCCATCCACCAGGGCCAAGCTTTTACAGGCTCCATAGCCTTCAAGATGAGACCTTAAGATGGTAACTAAGGATGCAAAGCAATAAGCTATGGGGAACTTTCCAGATGCATTCTGCCATGATGGAATAAGAAGCCCTCTCCAGAAGATGTACCACCTCTCCAACTTCTCAGCCTTCGAGCATGAACTAGATAAACTTCAATTTTTTATCAATTAATCAATCTTAGGCATTTGGTTACAGCAGCAAAAAACAGACTAAAGTATCATATCCTGGGCTGCATACCCTGAGATTTCTTAGATGAGAATGAGAGAGCAAATGAGGGGGTAGGGGATGGAATCCCAATATTTACTTCGAGACACTCCCTCAGTGACCTGACTTATTCCCGTTAGGTCTCCCCTCCTAAAGATTCATGAAGCACTTAGCATAGTGATAGACAGATAGTATTATTACTGTTTTGGTCAATCTTAGTCCGATACTCTTTTTACTGAGTTGAGTCGGTTTTAAAAGCACACACACATTCCCAACCCCTTAAGCCCCTCTTCCCATACCCCTCACTTCATTTCTGCCTCACAGACCTTGCATTCAGCCTCTGTTAAAGGCTAATGACACCCCACAGGAAGGAACAGTTATGAGAATGCTGACAGACTCCAAGCATCTAATAATTAGTGGCTAGCGACCACAGATAGGGAGGCAATTAGGAGGCTTGTGTCAATTCAGGGGTTAGAGCAACTTCATATTCCTTCCTCAGATTTCATGCATGAGCCCTGATGCATTCTTTCTGCCAGCAGTGGTGGTTTTCATTGGGAGGATGTGAGGTGATAAAGAGTATAGAAATCGTAGAGGCCTTGACACTCTTCAGTCCCAAATGACTCCCTATTCGAGCCCCTGCTCTGGTGGGTCTTCTGCCATCAGAACTAGATGGACATGGGTCGTGTAGGATGTATGTAAGGCTTCAAGGCCTTTGAAAAGGCCAAAGAGTGTATCAGCTTTTTGTTTCTGTAACAGAATACTCGAGGTAACTTAAAAGAGAGGTGTAATAGGACAGGCCCATAGGGTAGAGGAAATTGGCTCAAACCAGTTGTCAAGGCATGCACATAACATACTCCTTTATGAGCCAACCTGGAGTCTGCCTGAGGGCCTAGCAACAGGAGCTGTCAGAGTTCCTAGTGGCTGTCAGAGTTCCTGATTGTGCCCAGCCCATGAGGGATGACCACACAGACTGGGTGCTGGGAGGAGGGCATATAAGGCCTTCTCTGTTATTGAATAAAGGAGTTCATTATTTACCTTTAACAGACTCCCAGTGTCTGTGTCATTGACACCATGTCTTCTCACCTCCTCTCCCGAGGGAGCCCTTAGGATCCAGCAACAGAGAGGAAAAGTTTATTTCAGCTCATAGCTTTGGAGGTTTCAGCCCATCATTGGTTTGGGTCCTGATATTCACTTCAAGGAAGGGCACTCTCTCAAGGACACTCAGTGAGTTGATTTTCTTCCGTCAGGTCTCGCCTCCTAGAGATTCCACTTCCTCCCCTCCTAGAAGCTTTAGAATGGCCAACTGTGAAGATGGCCTGGGCTGGCTTTGAATTTCCAATCTTCCCCACTCCACACCCCCTGTAGGGGAGACAGGTGTGCACCAGGGGCATGTGGGACTATCTCTACTCAGTCCATTTCCTTCCTCTGGCATCATAGCACTGATGACCTCAGCACCACTTAGGATGCTCATGTTGGCAAAGGAGCCTTCTTTAGCTCTGTTTGGGTCCCTGGAAGTATACAAGAAAGGTAAAAATTTAGTGTCCTTTCTAATTAAAACATCTCTGTCATAATCACTTTTATTAAAGTAAGACTTTCCCACTTTTTTTGAGCTAGAGTCTCACTGTTGTACAACTCACTATATAACCAGGGTGATCTCGACCTTGTGGTAATTCTCCTGCTTCAGGCTCCACGTGATGGGCTCTAGAGGTGTGTGAATCACCACAACTAGCTAAAATAACAAGTGCTTGTTTGTTTGTTTTTAGTTCAAGAGGAGTAAGACTGAGTCATAGTATCTTTCCCAGAATGGATATTAGCAACAATTATACCAGTGAACTTTTCTATTGGTTTTCAATGGCCTTCCTTCCTTCCCTTTCTCCCTCCCTCCCTCCCTTCCTCCTTTCCCCTCCCTCCTTCCTTCTTTCTTTCCTTCACTCCTTCCTCCTCTCTTTCTCCCTTCTTTCCTCCATCCCCTTCCTTCCTTCCTTCCTTCCTTCCTTCCTTCCTTCCTTCCTTCCTTCCTTCCTTCCTTCCTGTGGGGCGTTTACCCACCACCCCCACAGCTCCCCAGAGTTTTGCAGGAAATATTAGATAGAAGGATTTATAGCGGAGAATCTTGCGGAGATAAACAGATAGAAAATAAAGGATAGCCTCGAGAAGGCCTGGAACCTATTCCAACAGGCCCCGACTGTCTCTGCCCCAGGGTTTTTATAGAGACACCAAGGGGTGGAGCAAAAGACCTCCTCCCCCAGCACAGCCAAG